AGGATGGGGGCTGCCAGGGAGTGGGAGGAGGAGGAAAAGGAAGTTGCTATTTAATGGGTATGGAGTTTCAGGTTTGCAAGATGGGTTACAGAGATCTGTTGTACAACAATGTGAATATAGTTAATGCTCCTGTACTGTAGACTTAAAAAAAATTAAGATGGGCCCTGGCCAGTGGTGCTCAGTGGTTGGAGCGTCCGTCAGCGCACTGAGGGGTCACGGGTTCGATTCCCAGTCAAGGGCTCGTATCTGGGTTGTGGGTTCCATCCCGACCCTTATGAGGTGAATGTGGGAGGCAACCAATTGATGTGTCTCTCTCACATTGATATTTCTCTCTCTCTCTCTCTCTCTCTCTCTCTCTCTCTCTCTCTCTCTCTTTTCCTCCCTCCTCCCTTTCTACTCTCTCTAAAAATCAATGGAAAAAATAACTTCGGGTAAGGATTAACAACAACAAAAATAGTTAAGATGGTAAATTTTATGTTATCTGTTTTTGAACACAATAAAAAAAATGATGACAACAATAATATTTCCACAGCTAACGCTTTCTGAACACTTTAATAGGCCCCAGGCATGTGCCAATAGAGATCATGTTTGATCCTTTCCAAAGCCCCACAAGGTGGGCACCAAATCTCCATTCTACCCAGGAGAAAAGTGCGGCTCAGTGAGGCCTGCCACCTGCCCCAGTCGCCCCGCTGCTGGGAGGCAGAGCGGCGATGTGAGGGCTGGCAGGCTGACTGGAGTTGCTCTCATCTACCGCTACCAGACCACCCGGCTAGAAAGCCGGCACTTCGACAGAATCTGGGAAGGAGACCAAAACTCTATGACACAAATCTTAAATTGTGAAGCTGCTTTACTGAGAGCAGAGGTAAGGATGCAGCTAGAGTTTATTGCTCTCACAGTGAGTGGCTCCTCCTCAGGTCATCCAATTAAGACTTAGCCTTGGCTTTTCCAAAATAGGTTCCCTAAGCTGGCCCCTGGGTGCTTTTCGGTCATGATTTCTGCTCCTGTGTGCTTTTATCTCATTGCACTTCGGGGTAAACTTTTATTTTATATATACACGAATACAGGTTATACACACACATATAGAAAATGTACATGTGAAAAGTGTACAGCTCACTGAATCTGTACAAACTGATTGCACCCACAGAACCAGCACCAAGGTCAAGAAGCAGAGCTTGCCCAGGGCCCCAGGAGCCCTTCGAGTACCCTCTGCAATCTCTTACACCATCCAGATCAATTTGTCAAAACAACCCAGTTTTATATTTTATGACATTAGCTCTCGGGTTGGGACTTTGCTATGGACAGGGAGCGAAATACAGATATATGGCAAGACTGGAATGGTGACCGAGAGCACGGCTGTCCTTAGATAGGCTCAGACTAGAATCCCAGCTCTGGCATTTCCTAGCTGTGCGCCTTTTGGGAACATGACTTGACCTCTTTAAGAAAAGGGGATTATAATGGGCCTACCTGGAACGAATAAAATACTCTGAGCAAACCTAATACGATGCCTCGCACAGAGTTTATTACTCTCCAGAGCAGGTGTTGGCAGATTAGGGCTTTTCTGTATTGTCAGTAAAGTTTTATTGAAACGAAGTCACATCCACTCATTGTCTACTGTCTGTGGCTGCTTCTGTATTACAAGGGCAGATATGAATAGTTATGGCAGAGACCCTCTGGCCTGCAAAACCTATATAGGGTATTGACTAGCTGGCTCTTTACCAAGGACATTTGCTGGTCCCTCCTTTAGAATGTGAGCCATGTTCACTGTGGTACCACAGGGACTGGGGCGGTCTGGCCTGTGGTAACCACTCCTGTGGATGCTGTTATTTGTATTATATATGACAAACACTATTTCTGTATCTCATCATTATTGGCTTTTCTGAATTTGGCAGTTGAACGTATTTCTAAACAGCTCTAGAAGGAAGCAGTGAAATCACAAAAATCAACCCAGATAAAATGAAAGAAGTCAGCCCTGGAGATGCCCAGGAAGATCAATATGTTTGTAAATTCTAGCAAAAAGAAGCACCCACAGATACAGCAAAGGCACTGAACTCGGAGCCAGAGGAACAAGACCAGAATCCCAGCTCTGCCATTAGCTAGTTGGCTGGCCCAGATATGGAACAAGTCTCCGAGGCTCAGTCCCCTCGCCACTAATTTACAGTTTAGAAAGGCAACTCCAGCTGGACCGGAACGGGGCAAGATATACTGTAGGCGAAAAAGCCGTAAGGACCCTGCAGTAATTCAGGCAGGGTTGTCAGAAATAAGGAAATATCAGGTCTTCAAGGGCTTTGAGAATCACTATTTTCACATAAAATAAGTTTATGAAACAATGTTCCATAGAACTTGCAACATCATATTGTTATTATTTGTTTCCTCGTCTGTCTTCCTAAAGTTGTGCACTTCTAATGAATGGAGACCATAACTACTTCTTGCTGTCACTTTAGATCACGTGTCTTCTACAGGATGAAGAGTGATGACTGACACAGTGTAGGCACAAAATCATTCTTAGATGAATAAATGAACCTGGAATTACATTCTGCCCCTCGGTGGTCATTTGCCACATCAGAAAAAGGCCGGGGAGTCAGGGAAGCTTCAATTTAACGTAAGCACTAGAAAATGGGCAAAGAGTATTTAGAGGTAGGAATACGTTAAGAAAACAAAACTTGCGCCCATTTCTAGGTACATGACAGATTCACTCATTTACCACCTCCCTCCTCTCCTCCTTCCCTGCAATGCTGTCTCCCCTTACTCGACGGTTCCCTCTCTGGTTCTCCTCTCTCTCTCTACTCCTTTGAGGGTCCGTCCTTGTTTATCCATCCCTTAAACGCTGGTGTTCCCCTCTTGCCTCCTGCTCACGTTCTACTCTCTCATCTAGTTTCAGAGCTTCAATTACTATTTAAAATAACTTTAGGATTCTTGGTTTTCAGCTGCGATCTCCTTCCTGTGCTCCAGCAGATACACCTACGGGTACTGCCCACTGGACATCTCCATGGACACCCGACTCCTCATGTCCTGGTGGAACTCGTGTCTTCACCTCTTTACAGACATGGTCTCTCTGAGGCTTTGCCTCTCCAGTGACTGGCGCCACTGTCCACACAAATGGCAAAGTGGGAAAACCCATGTACAATGAGCCCTCTTTCCCTCACACGCGATTCCATTCAATCATATCCCTAACCCCACCCCCCAAGCTCTTGAATTCATCCCCCTCACCCCGCTGCAGCCCTCTCTGTGATTCTGCCTCGGTTCTGTCTGCACCATCTCCCACCTGAGATGCTGGGAGCTCCTGACAGCTTTGCTGACTCCACTCTTGTTCTTTTCCAACGTGGCCACAGTTCTCTTTCTAAGCCATACATCGGCTCACATCGTGTTCCCTTTAAAACGCATCCACAGTTTCCCAAACGCATTAGCTGGGTACAGAACTGTGCCACCCAACACCATGGACGCCAGCTGCGTGCGACTACTGAGCACTTGGAATATGGCTGGTCTGTGTCAAATACACACCAGATTCGAAGACTTAGTGTAAAAATAGGTAAAATATCTTATTTATAGTTTTGGTGTTGATTACATGTTTAGGATATATTAAACTAAATAAACTTTTAAGTTAATTTCACTTTTTAAATCATTTTAAACATAACTACTAGAAAATGTGAAATTATGTATGTGGCTCATATTTCATTTGGACAGCAATGGTACAAAAAGTCCTTATCTTTCAAGCACCTCTCTCTCTCTTCCTTCACCAAAGCCCTCTCCCCCTCACTTCTACACTCTATCTGATTTGCAGGTTGCTGAACGGACCACCCAGTTTTGCAGTATCTGGGCGATTTCTTAAAACAAATGTTGTTTGTTGTCCCCACTGTCCAATGCCCCCTGGCTCCAGGCAGCACCTGTCACCTGCCCTGTACCGGTCACTGGATAAACCTGATGCCCTGCCTGGGTTATTCAGTCCCTGCATCTCACTAATATTGGATCTCCAACAAAAATTCTAGGGACTCAGCAGGTAATCAATGAAAGAATGAACAGAAATGCAATCAATGAACTTATAGTCTAAAAGGGTGTCTAATAAAAGACAGATTCAGATATAGCCTAAAAGGTGCCACCAGCCAGAAGAGAAATATATAACAGTAAGCTATGTTGTAAAAGAACAATAGGACATACAGGGTGGGGCACAAGTAGGTTTATAGTTGTTCACATAGAAAATATAATAATCAATAAATAATAATACAAGAATAAAGTGTGGAGGGCTTGTGGAGGGGGATGGGAGTGTGCTACAGGGAGTCAATGGGGGGAAAAAAGGGGACATGTGTAATATTTTCAACAATAAAAAATTTTAAAAAAGAATAAACTGTGTTTTGCGTACTCACAAATGTAAACCTACTTTTGCCTCACCCTGTATTTAGCAAACGTGATATAGTCAGACCCATGGATTAGGCAATTCCATGCCTTTGGATCTGAACTACAGAAATACTTGGCCATGAGAGCAAACATAAAAATGCACTAGAATCTTCACTGCAGCATCCTTTGTAACAGAAAAGATTGGGGACAACCTGTGTCCCATCATTTACAACAGAGCTGGTAAATTATGGCATATGCATTCACTGGAATGGCATAAAGCTATTTTAAAAAGGAGGAAATGAATTCTGTGTCCTGAAAAGGCAAGATCTCTGTGATATATTAATGGGGAAAAGTATGAAAAGCATACAAGTGTAAGAGTGTGTGTGTGTGTGTGTGTGTGTGTGTGTACTTTGATCAGAAGAATACATAAGAAACTGGTAAAGGTCCCAGAGGGAGAGATGAGGGAAAGAGTGAGAGGGAGAGAGCCTTCATGTGTATTCTCTTTGAATGTGCTAATGCTGTGCACACATTACTTTCAGAAAAAGATTAAAGACGCTCTCTGGGTGTTTTTCCTCTGTATATTTCTGTACGGTCAAGAAAAGATCCTGATTACTCCCTTCTCCCAAGTCAAACAGATAATAAAATAGCAACATCAACATGACACCCCTTACCGTGATCTTCTTGTGGTCAGGAAACTCGAGGCCAAAATAGTCGCCCTCCACGAGGTTGAGGTGGTTGCAAACTGCATCCAGCAACACTTTCCCTGGGGCTCTTTGCTGGGAAGAGAAACAAGAGGCGTTATTCCCTTGAGACAGGCAGGAGCACAGAGAGTTCCCAGACACCGCTCCCTGCCACACACACAGTGTCCCGTTATTCACATCTTGCATCAGTGCAGCGATTTTCAACTGGTGTGCCGCAAGCATTTTTAAAACATGTTAATACCTGATAGTTGGTCAAGGGCACCGACCTCTTTTCCCTTAGATTGTCAAATTAAAAAATGACAACAACAGCTGCCTGGTGTGAATGAATCAAAATTATACATATTTTTTGTCAGATTGGCAAAAAATACAATTTTTTTTGGTCTGCCGAAGAATTTTAGTAATTAGTTTATGTTTATAAGATTAAAAGGCTGAAAGTCACTGCATTAGTGTGATATATTTGCTATAATTATTGGGCCAACATTGACACATTACTATCACCTGAAACCCACTGTTTACATTAAGGTTCACTCTTTGTGTTGCATAGTTCTATGCAGTTTGACAAATGTGTATTATCATGTATCCATCATCCCAAAAATCCACTGTGCTTTATCCATTCAACCTTTATCTCCCTCCTCCTTGACCCCTGGCAACCATAAATGTTTTTACTGTGTTTGTAGTTTTGACTTTTTTAGATTGCCATATAGTTGGAATCACAAAGTACTGTATGGAGACTTTTCAGATTGTCATCTTTCACTTAGCAATGTGCATTTAAGCTTCCTTTATATCTTTTCCTGCCTTGATCACCTCATTTCTTTTGATCACTGAATATTCCATTGAATGGACCACAGTTTGTTTATGCATTCACCTATTGAAGAACACCGTGGTTGCTCAAGTTTTTATAATTATGAATAAAGCTCCTATAATTGTGTGCAGGTTTTGTGTGGACATCAGTTTTCAACTCAGGATCCCCCTGAAACCCTGCCCTGTGTCTCTCTCCCTAGGAATACGGTAAAACTTAGGGCTTTCTTCTCTTGGTTATTATAATACTCTGTGCAGACTCTCATCTAGTCTACATCTAGACTACCCATCCATTGAAGGGAAAGGCCATATTTTATTAATCCTGTATCTACAACGCTTAAAGACCAACCAATTTTGTTAAAATGAATGAATAAACAAATCAAGAAAAGTTACTCATTCCACAATATTATATAAATTAAAGAGCTATGAGTCTGTCTCTCTGATTAGGTTCTGAGTTATTTATTCACCTTTCTATTGCCATTGCCTAACAAGGCATCTGACACTCTAACAATGCCTGTTAAAATCAACGCTGCGTGTGTATTTTCTATACACTGAATCTATAAGCAAAGAGAATCCTATATAATAAAAAGCTAATATGCAAATTGTCCCCTCCATCTGGAGTTCGACCAGGAGTTCAACCAGGGGGCAGGGGTAGCCAGCCAACCATCCGCGTCCCCTCTCCCTGCTGGCTCAGCCTTATCAGCCCCAATCAGGGGTGGGCTGGCTGGACCCCACCCGTGCACAAATTTGTGCACTGGGCCTCTAGTATGATATGTAAGAAACCATTTTCTACCCTAACAGTTTAGAATCATATTGGTTTCCCTTCACTCTCCAGCGGACTCCTAGTGTCCCACTAGTAAAATAGACCCAACCCTACCACACAGAACAAACACTGAAAGAAAAATGTTTCAAAGACATGATCATCTCCAGTTACTGCTTTTCTAGTTTCACCTCCTCTTTGAGGAACCAATTAGTAACCCAGGAGACCAGCAAGTCCATTAGCCTGCCCCAGCGTGACCTGAGGAGCCATCACAGGTGCTTCAGTGTCCAGCAATAAAGCACCTTCTTTAAAAAAAAAATACTTTTCTTGATTTCAGAGAGGACGGGAGAGGGAGACAGAGATAGAAACATCAATGATGAGAGAGAATTGTTGATGGGCTGCCTCCTGCACACCCCACACTTGGGATCAAACCAGCAACCCAGACATAGGCCCTGACCAGGAATCAAACCATGACCTCCCGGTTCATAGGTCGATCCACTGAGTCCCACAGGCTGGGCCCTCTTTTTAAACAGCTACCAATTTATGCTCCCATAATTCCTCATCATTGAAATCCAGAAGATATTCACAGCCATCTAATGGTGTGTAATATTCTCCATGGATAATTCCAAACTCGCCAGGCTTTAGACTTTGAATGCCTGGTCCAAGGGTTACTGGTAGAGTCATTTTACTTGTACCGATCGAAGGCAGGAGTAACAGGCCATTGAATGTAACCCATTCTCTTCTATCAATCATACCCCACCCCCTGCTGCCCATATACACCTGCATTTATCCAGTGGATTGAAGAGCCACATGGATTACAGGTCACCAATCTTATTTTTCCTCTCTTTGGGACACACTGTGCCCTAACCAGTCATGCTGAGAGCACTTGGGAATTCCTCAGCCAAGCTAAAGCAGGTCCTGGGTTCAAGTTCTCACTCCTGCCCCCAAAGAGCTACACGAGTAACTGACACACAGCTCTTCGTTCTAGACCAGTGATGGTGAACCTATGACACGCGTGTCAGAGGTGACACGCGAACTCATTTTTTTGGTTGATTTTTCTTTGTTAAATGTCATTTAAATATATAAAATAAATATCAAAAATATAAATCTTCTGTTTTACTATGGTTGCAAATATCAAAAAATTTCTATATGTGACACGGCACCAGAGTTAAGTTAGGGTTTTTCAAAATGCTGACACGCCGAGCTCAAAAGGTTCGCCATCACTGTTCTAGACCCTCCTCTCTGTCTGGTAAAATCTGCAAGCATTAATAAGAACATTATAAACAAAGGTCTGGGCCTAAGAAGTTGTGGAAGCATTCCTATATCATAACAAGTTTGTCAAAGAGAAGACCACAAGCCAGTTTCACAATCCTTCTTCCTCACAACTCTTGACATTTCCTATTTGTTAAAAAACAAACTATCAATGATCTGACCAGCTGGCAAGCACTCACATTTCCAAAGAATCCCTGGAAATAAGTGAATTTAAGAGCTTCATCATGAGACTTTACAATTCCACGCTGGAAGTCCAAATAAACAAAAGAATCAATATACAATGGATGTCTTTAAAGACATGCTGTTCAACTAAGTGCCTCAGGCAAGGGGGACTTTCCACCTGAACTGAGTCAGCGGAGCGTTTTGTGAATGTATCCAGCATATACTGGTAAAAATAAGGGGCTGGAAATAGATGCCTGGAATCTAGCTGATGATACAAATCTGGTCTCAATTCTTAACAATTTCCTTAAAGTTTATTATGTTGTAAAAATCCTTTGTATGAAATGACTTCTCTATGATGCCAACATTTTTATATAGGGAGAAATGAATTTAGAGTTTGAATGATATTATAGCTCCTAACAATCATCATAAAACAGATGCCTGAATTTCCCTATGAAAGCTGGTGATATTCAGGGAGCTTCACTAGAAAGTATTTATGGTTTTAATGTAACCACTCCATGACAATTTCATGGGTAAAGTGGCCCTCAGCATTAACACCACAAATGTGTGCCGGGCACAATGGTTGAAAATGCTCCTAGACATCAGGATTCCCAAGCTCAAGGACCCAGTTCCCTTTCTTCTAGGAGCTGGGATAGAACTGCCTGGGCGTATCCATGCACAAGGGCCAAATTCTACCGAGAAAACATCTTGGAGGAGGGAAGAAGAGTTGCATCCTCATTCTTTATGAAAAACTACCCCTCTACTTCCTCTTCCTGTGGATTTTCTCCCTCAGTCATTCTCTACACTCGTCTCCAATGAATTTCTGAGCTTCACACTAAAAGTAATTCTGTTCAGAATCATATCACAGAACATAAAATGGATAGTGGTGGTGACCACACAACATTCTGAATGTACTTAATGCCACTGAATTATATACTTAAAAATGGCTGAAATGATAAATTTTATGTTATGTCTATTTTGCCACAATAAAAAAAAAGTGCAAGAGGAAAGGGCAGGGGAAAGGAACTGAGGAATAGGGTTCGCATTAGTATAATCAACTGAGGAGGGTCACTCACAACAGAATCTGTTTACTTCACATTAGATCTTAAAACAAGATTGAGGGGCTGGATCCGGCTCAAGCGGAGAGGCTGTGCAGAGGAGCCATCACATGGGAAGAGTGTGTGACTATCCACATGTGCACTAATATTTCTCAGCACAAAGAGCTCGTCTATGTGTCTGGCAAAAAAGTCATAAAATAAACATTGGTGGAAGTAACCACAAATTATACATTTGGTGCAGGCTCTGCACGGAAAATTGATGCTGGGGTTTAAAAGCTACCAATCCACTAGCCCCTTATTGCTAAAATGAACGTGCAAGTCAGTCAATAAAATCTGAATGGGGGTAAAAGTGGCAACAGTATAGATTAAACTGGGAGAACAGAAAGTAGAGATCCTGAGGAAAATTCAACTGTAAAGGGATTTTTTTTTCAAATAGTAACTTACTTTAAGATACACACACACACACACACACACACACACATTTATATTATGGCTATATAAGCTGTCATATATAAGGAAGGAAACCAAGTTATTTAGGCATCATTTGAAAACCTGAATTAATTATGCTCCAAAAGGCATTTGAATTTTAATCTAGTGGACAAATAAAATGGCTGATTTCAAACTGCATGTCCCTATGCTTTCTGCCTTTTGAATTGGCTTTTCACGCAATCCTACAAAATTAAGTTTTAGGAGGAGGTTTACATTCTTGGGGGATGTCTGGCAAGAAAGCACTGAATAATAAACAGTATGAACATTCACATACAGCTTCAAGCTATTAAAAACTGAACCAAAGTTGCTTTAGTTTATGGTGCTTTTAAAATATGTCTGTGCCTTCGGGTAATTTCTGTCCCATAAAGTTTTATGAGGGAGTAGTTCTTTTCCTCCTCTAAAAGAATAAAGACACAATTCTTTCTGGGTTGGGGGTGTCTTCTCCTCCCTCTCTAAGGGTCTGAAAAATGGTGCGTCCCACTGAATACGAGCTAAGGCTCTGCCTTTCTCATATAACCTCATAGACAAAACTATCAAGA